TAGCAATAACTAATAATAAAATAGAACAATTATAGCATACTGTAATAAAAGTCATGTGAATGTGGTCTGTCTCTCAAGAACTGTAATAAAAGTCATGTGAATGTGGTCTGTATCTTATTACACTGCACTACCCTTCTTCTTGTGATGATGTGAGATGATATAATGCCTACGTCATAAGATGCAGTGGCTGAATGACAGTCATTGTGACGTAGTGTTAGGCTACTATTGACCTTCCAATGACAAAGGGAGGAGCATCTGCCTCAGGTGATCCTGGATCATTGAACCAGGATGATGCTAATGGTTGGATGTCAGGAACAGACAATGTTGATGTTTGAGGATCCTACACAGTTGAAGCATTGTGGGTTTTTTTGCCAAAACCTTCTGGTTTTGGTTTCTGAGAGCACGTTCTTCACTCTGTACACTGTGCCTGGCTTTATCACATGCCCTGAGCATTGCACATAGTACCAGAGTTGATCCGTCCTTATTTTATGCCCTGGTGCCTCCTTTGCACTTTTACGAATGTAAGTTCTTTTGTGCATCTTCTTCCAGGAGATCCTGGTTTCATCACAATTGCAGACTTGCTTTGGACGGTATCATTTCTCCTTAATCAACTTCTTTAACTTTGCCAGAAATGTGGCAGCAGCTTCTTCATCAGCAGACACAACCTTTCCAGTAACTTTTACGTTTTTCAGTCCAAATTTATTCCTGAATTTGTGTAACCATCCCTCACTTGCAATAAATGGCTTGGAGTAACTCATTTCAGGGAATCCCTTGCTGAAGTCTTCATATAGTCTCAAAGCTTTCTGGCACAACACGTTGCTGTCAATCTGATCATGTTTTCTGTTCATGTCTTCTACCCACAAATTTCATGCCTTTTCCATCTTAACTAAGCACTTATCACACGGCGTGGCCATAACGTTTGCAGTTTGAGTTACAACAGTGAAACTAGCACTAATTTAATTTTCCTTCTTTACAATTTCATGGATAGATTTGTTTTTACAATAAATCTTAACCTCAACGTAAGATTTTTTTTCTTCTTTTCTTATTTAGACAAAAACTTTTACGTTTTCACTTAAAGGAAGCACTTTGAGATTTCTTTTTGGCATATCTGAATTGGCAGCATCACTATCTTGTGCTTTCAGGCTATCACTAAGTAAAACAAGGTGACTTGGACATAGGCACTGCAATAGTACAGTATCCGATAGCCGAGGGGGCTACTGAGTGAGTGAGGGGCAGGAGCATCTCCAGCGTGCAGACGCTGGACACAGGCGTGACTCAGTCCAGGAGGACAGAGCAGGAGGGCACGAGATCAGAACAGCCCGCAATTTAAAACTTATAAATTGTTTATTTCTGGAATTTTCTATTTCATATTTTTGGACCACTGCTGACTGAGTAAATAAAACCAAGGAAAGTGAAACCGCAGAAAAGGGGGGACTACTGTATATGTGAGTACTTCAAAAAGTTCATGGAAAGATTTATATTATCTTTTAATTCTATTTTTCCACAAATTTTTTGAAGTATCTGCATATGATTCAATAATAGAAATTCTTCTTTCTTCCATCTCCCCTCTATGTTTCCTATCCAGGCCGCCTTTCTCCCTCTTTTTTCTTTCCTCCTCTTCTTTCCTGTGTGCCCCTTTCCTCCTCTTTAATCATTCATTTTACTCTTTCTTCCTGCTCAGGAACAACTAGCATTTATCTTAGCATTCTCCTTGTAAGGAGCTTTACCCCCGCCGTGTCACACACCTTGTCCCATATTACTTTACAACTGCCACTCTTTTTTCATTTTAACATTCAAGCAGGCTAACAGAACAACGTTTCAAAATCAGGCCTCCTTCCTCCAAAGCCTGTGCCTTCTTCCACGCTACCTCAACAAATTCTTCCCTCCCTTCCTCATAGATCTTTTTTCTTTTCTTCTTCTTACCCTCCCTTCGGCTTTCCTTCCTCATTTCCTCCTCTGTTACCCCAACAAACCTTCTTCTGTCCCACCCCCACTCCCATCCAGTAACCCCCTCCTTTCTCCAGAAGTCTTTGCTCCTCCTGGAACAGTCTCCCTAAAGCATCGCTAACCACCCATGCCCCTGTCCCGCCTTCTTACTTCATGCCGGGATCCAAATACTATCCATTTATTTCTTATATTATGAGCAGCTGTTTTCTGAATGAACCACAGGTAGGATTGGAGGGAGGTATCCGACTGGGGTATTTCCTGATTTCTCCCCTTCCCCTTCTC